AGAGAAATTCCCATGTTTGTGCTGGAAAAACAGCAAAAATCGGCATTTTGGATGAATCCCGAGTTGCCCAGGGACGGGAATTCCAACGGGCAGGGAATTCTGCGGCCGGAATATTCCTGCTATCCGTAATCTCCTGAAAAGCGGGAGAACATTGGAGGGGAAAAAAATGATAATTTGGCCATTTTTAGTCACCAGAAGGTGATTTTTTTGGGATTGGGATGGAATTTCTGGACCCAGGGAAGGTCTGGGAGCCAACGTTGAGGACGGACGGAGATCCGAGCGGTTTTGTCCCGGAATCCTCCCCCCTCCTCCCGCAGTAAATCCAAGGAAATGAAGGAATTAAGGAAAACTAAATCCCAAATGGAGGGGCTGGAGGAGTAAACGAGAAGAATAATCAGATTTAATCATCGTTAATTATCGACTGGGGCGTCGATTGGGCTGCTCGTCCCCGGGGGAACTGGGAAATTAAAATAGAAATAATGAAATGAGAGGAGAATTAATAAAAGGGATGATAAAGGAAGGGGCAATAAAAGGACAAGAAATAAAGGAATAATAAATAAAAGGACGATAAGAGGTCGATAAATAAAAGTACAATAAATAAAGGAATAATAAATAAAAGGACGATAAAAGGTCAATAAATAAAAGGACGATAAATAAAAGGACAATAAATAAAAGGATGATAAAAGGACAATAAAGGACAATAAAAGGTCAATAAAAGGTCAATCAAAGGACAACAAAAGGACAATAAAGGTCGATAAAAGGTCAACAAATGAGGGGCAATAAAAGACAACAAAGGATAATAAAAGGTCAATAAAAGGTCAGTAAATGAGGGCCAATAAAAGACAATAAAAGGATAATAAAAGGACAATAAATGAACAATAAAAGGACTATAAAGGTTAATAAATAAAGGACAACACAAGACTATAAAGGACAACAGAGGTCAGTGAAGGGCAATAAATAAAGAACAATAAAAGACAAGGAAAAGATCAATAAAAGGACAATAAAAGGGCAATAAAATAATTAAACGTGGAAATAGGGATGGAGAAGATGGAAATAGGGATGGAGAACATGGAAATAGGGATGGAGAAGATGGAAATAGGGATGGAGAACATGGAGATGGGGATGGAGAAGATGGAGAAGGGGATGGAGAACATGGAAAAAAGGATGAAGAAGATGGAAATAGGGATGGAGAACATGGAAATAGGGATGGAGAACATGGAAATAGGGATGGAGAACATGGAAATAGGGATGGAGAACATGGAAATAGGGATGGAGAA